GTTTCTGCATGTGGAAAACCAATGATTTTGGTGTGGATTTAGAAGCTGCTGAGTCTGTTTCTGAACACAAAAATATGCTCGAGTCTGTCGATGAACAAGAATTTGAAGGCAAGGGCCTTCGAGTGCTTTTACTGCTGTAGTTCTCCATCCATTTTTCTATCCTTATTGCTCGTCGAAGACTTTCAATCTCTTCCTCGACTTGTACAGCATTGTTTCTTTTACGAAGATTGAAATCCTCTGCTTCTTGTTCTTTGACGCCCTTGGATTCATCAATGGAATGATAAATGGCATCGAGGAGAGACGACGAAAATGATGGTGTTTTACTCCGTGGAAGCTGTCTCTGTCTCTCCCACGATGTCATCTCTGTCTAAGTTTGTACTACAATAACAAATTCTGTAATAGGAAGGAAGAGTGATCGTGTCTTTTCTTTTTTAATCACCCTCAAAACTGACTCCTTAAGATCCTTTATATAGTGAAAAATAGTGAGACAATCAAATACATATACGGAACTTTCGATATAACGCGCTCTAAGGATAGGTGAACAGTATGATCAGGCTCTATACAGTACCAACACAAAGTGAACAGTATGATCAGGCTCTAGACAGTACCAACACAATGAAAATAAAAAATAAAAAGTGAACAAACACTAAATGTAGTGATACTAATTAGCAGAGGAAGAGAGAAAGATATTGACAGGAAAAAGGAATTGCTTGGATTTTGGCTAGGATAATGAGGGGAGTGGGGTTGGGGGTTGATGCTAACTACAGAAACTCAAGAGCTCATATATAGTATAGCCACGCGTGCGTGTGATTCTGCCAGAGTGGCTATGAACGTGCTGCTCAGTTTCCTTTACTTTTGCTGTCTTCTTCCACGGCTGCTGCTTTTGGTCCTTTTCCTTCGACCACACCGGATTTCTTTTGTGGGGTCAAACTTGGCTGTCGACCCTACTTGCGAAAAGTCCCTGGACCATTCTGACCAACGTGTATCGGAGCATATGAGCCTTCGCACTAGCGTTCGTGGGACACTCGACTCATAAAAGATAAATCAAGTTAAGTGATAACGTCCTATAGGCTCATCAAGTCCCATCTCAGCTTGAACCATCTTGAGACGGGTCTAGTGGCTCAGGCCTATAAGCCGGCTGTCCCGAGCCTCTTTTCAACTGCCGACCGGCGTGATTGATACCACTTGATTATTCAGTTTTGAGATGCTTTCTGATCAGAACCCATGTGTTCAAATAGGTATCAAAGTTGCAAAGTACAGACAGAGAAGTAAAATCTCAAATGCTGCTGATTAAAGGACAATTTATTCTAGTTTGCAAGTACAGACAATAATTTAAATAGGAAAAGTGCAGTTGAGCATCAAAGCAGCAATATCATGAGATGGAATGGGATCATGTACTATGCAGGGTAATTCCCAAATAGAATTAGAATAAGAAATTAGTAGTAGAACAAGAAGAAACCTTAACACATGAAAACAATTAATATGTGTATCAAGAAGAGCTTATAAATCGATTATCAAACTTATATTAATTCGACACAAAATTTCCCCATTTGATTCCCATTTCTATTACATTACATTACATTACATTTCTCTCTCTCCTATTTTTAATCACACAATCTTCCATAAAATAATATTACACGTAAATCGAAAATTTTTCCTTTTTTTTCAACCACTCATTTTTCAAAAAAATATTATTCCACCCATTTTCAACTCTACAAAATGGGGACCAAACGGGGGCTTTATTTATAACATTCCTCAATAAGATGATGGTTCGTCTAAGAACATTAGACTTAGAATTTGACTACTTGCTTGAGCATTAGACCAATCAATACCGTACAAAGTCAGGGAAGAGGGATATAAATAGGGGAGAAGGGGTGAGACGAATGGAAATAGGATTTTTATAGAAGAATGTCATTCTATGTAAGGCCGACCCGAGTGATCTGACACTCAAAAATAGAGCCAAGAGCTGGCCCTGCCCATGGCTGGCCGTGTTTCTACTATTTTCACTAGGTTTTAGATATTTAGAGTCAAAATTTGAAAGCATTTCAACGTTATCGATATTCATGTTCTGAAGTTCAGAAACTCGGGATTACCCCCTGTGTGTTTTTCATTTTTTCCCCATTAAAATGAAAAATATGATCATCATCCATCACATCAAGCCACCAAATTTGAATTTCTATCTCTTGTGTGGTACCCATAAAATTTATATTTTTCATTCTAATTTTTACAAAAATGGAAAACAAACGCCTCCTAAGACTTACAAGGATTTTTATGTTTTTTTCTATATTATTGGTGATGTACATTTGAACATGACGCCATGAGAATTAGGACATGGAATCAGTCGTACTCCAAGATTTTAAGATCACAATTTAGTTAGCAAAGGGTGTAGCAACATTCCATTGAGGTATCTTTGGAAGAAGAAAATGAGGGAAAGGGCACTGACTGAGCCCGGACCTGGATTCAGCGAATACCTAAACACAAAATATGATAATATTTAAAATAAAAAGTAAAAAATAATAAAAAATCACATAATTTAATTTTTCTCAACGCCACTACGAGAGAGGTTGTAGCCCCCCTCATTTTCTACAACTAATCCTCCCTACCAAATAGACCCTTAATAATAATAATAATAATAATAATAAAGTACTCTTAAAGAAAAACATTTATCAGAAGAAAGGGAAACTTAATTGTTTACAAGCAAATAATCCAACCATTAAAGCTTATAGTACAAGAAAAGAAATGGACCTCTTTCTTACCTGTTTGATATATCAAAGTTTTCCACAATTGAAGCTTTCAAATTGTATACCAGTGGACTCCACATATATTATGAATTCTCTTAACGTCATAATTTGATATGATTAATAAGAGATAAGGAAGATGAAACAATACCCCACAACCCACAATGCATCTTTTCAGCAGTTACAAAATTGTGACTCCTCACTCCTATATTTTTGTCCAGTTTAGAAGGATAACAGGGAAGGTATTGGACAATATTATCATGTCCACTATTACGTACTAGATATACTTTTAAGATATGTTTAGAACACAATATTACTTGGCATTAAAATTATAGTGGATGAGAATTTAGTTTCTTTCCTTCGTTAACACTGTCCAATACTGTCTTCACCAAGCATATCGTAAGAGGACCAGTCTTAATTGGTTTGTCTGAACAACTGAGGGAAAATATTGTAGTAGGCACCACCTCTCAACCAACAAAGGTTGCTTCTCTCTGCACCGTGTTAAATTCGATCACAAGGGGTGGTGGGGGACCCTTAAGGTTAGGGTTTTAACCTTTTTTAATACATTGAGGTTCTAACTAAAAGGATTGCAACAACGACAAACCAAGTCTCTTTTTCTCAGTAAAATTGAGATCAGCCACATAAATCATTTTCGTCCATTTGTTCAATCACTATTAAATTTACACGTACATCTAAAGTAACTAGACTCTTAGCAACTACTAAGTGACGTCAAGTCATCGACTAAAAGGACCTTTAGAGTCAATGTTTAACTGTTTTAGAAAATCAAGCAACCTATGAAACGATTAAATATTTGCACAGAAATGGACTGACTCACAATCCATTCAAAAGAATATGATACAAGGCGTGAAAGTAGGGCCAGTAAAAGATTGCATTTCCAATAGATGCTTCTTCCTATAATCAATCCTATTGTCGATGCTTTCTTGTGTACAAGGAAATGATTGTGATTTTATCAGCAACAAAAAAGAGAGAAGGAAAGAGGGTGTGTCAAATAATGAGATTAATACATGCACAATTTTTACAAATTAACGACATTGAAGTGACTAAACTACAAGCACTAGACTTCGCCTTATCTCAATATGAGGTTAAATTACCTCATTCAAAAGTTTAGCTTGCTACTAGCAAAATTTTATTTATTTAAATCTTATTTTCAAAACGAAAGTTCTAAAGTTTCTCGCTTATGCTATTTCAGATAGATATGTCATCAACTCTCCAGTTTCAGAGTGGAATACGAAATCCTTTTGTTTTATTGATGCCTTCCAACAAATTGACAAGAAATAGTTCACAAGATGACAATTTTAAGCATGCGCATGACCAATATTGAAAATGAAAGCAATCGACTAGACAACTACAATTAGTAAAAGGTTTCCAACACAATCAAAGCAGACCCACCAGAGTCATTAATCATAAGTTTGCCTTTTGGACTTTCACATGGGAATACTATTTTTTTTCTCGTCTGCAATCACGACCCGTATAATTAAATTACTATTTTGTGTTCTAAACATGCTCGATCATATTAGCCCTCGTTTGATCCTCATTACCTAAAAATGAAAATGGTTGGAATAGTATTTATTAGAAAAATGAATAATTGAAAAAGAAGAAAAAAATTTCGATTTACGTGTAATATTATTTTATGGAAGATTGTGTGATTGAAAATAAGAGAGAGAAAAATAGAATGTAATATAATTGAATTTAATGGGAATAAAAAGAAGGCTAGATTTCCTTTCATTTGAATGGAGAATAAATTTTAACCTTTTTCTTTTTGGTCTTCAAATTTTAACTTTTTGACACATTTACTTTGCGTAATAATTGCAAATAACCTTTTTGCGTGGAATGTGCAAACATTAATCAGTTCAAATATATTTTGGTGTTATGTATATTGCATGCCTGAGTAAAACAGCACATCTTAGGCTAATAATAATAATTAAAAAAAAAACATTATGATAATAAATTAAGATTTTTAATAATTTAAAGTCGAATATAAGAATTCATTTTTAATGCGATGTTAACGAAAAGAATAATGCTATTTATACTAGAGCACCAATTTATATGATATTATATGATAGATTCAATTAAAAGTGAAAATTTCTAATTTAGCCCCTGTTTGATTAACATTAAATTAAATTACATTACATTCCATTTTTCTCTCTCCTATTTTCAACCATACAATCTTCTATAAAATAATATTACACGTAAATCGAAAACTTTACCTTCTTTTTCAACCACTCATTTTTCTAAAAAATACTATTCCCCCCATTACCATTTTCAGGTAATGGGGGTCAAACAGGGTGTTAATGTCATTAATGCTGCCATCTACGTTGAAGAAAATGGTTTAAATTACGAAATAGTACCTGAACCGAATTTGCCTGAGATCATTTCCACCACGTGGCAGGGACAAAAAGGTAATTAGAACACCGGGTTCGACCTGAGCCACCCACTCCTTCGGCTCGCTTTCTTCCACGAACAAGACTGGATCGACTCGCCGGCCACTCGCTGACGCCGGTGTCCCCTCGCCGCTTGATATTCCCTTCAGCCTTATCTGCAACTCCCTTCTCCCCGACGAGTTCGAGCTCCCTGTCCGCTTGTACGACCTCCGGAACCTCTCCGATGCCACCGATTCAGAATCGCCGGAGTTCCCGTTCTTCGGCAATTGAGTCGGCTGGGTTGTGCATGGCGTACAGTGGCTGTATGCACCAGACGCCTTCAACGCTATGTCCTTGATCTACAAAATTACACCCATTACGTTCAAATTTCAAAATTCTAATAAAATTTGCATATAATTTCCAGTTTCGTCGATTCTACTCAATTTTGGATGTCTAACTCATTACACTGATAAACAAATTACCTGAGAAGTGAGGGTTTTGATGGATTGTTTACTAGACTGATCAATAGAATCATCGCTTGATTGCTTTGCACGCGCTATGCATGTAAGCATTTTCCCTTCTGCACTTGATATATATATTTATATAAATCTGTGAACTAACTTCGCAATATTAAGGAGAGTTTAGGTTGGATGAAGAAGAAGAGATAAAGAAGCAGTAAATGCTGGTGGTGCTCACCCACTTTTAATGCCCACATAGAGATTCCTGTTCATAATAATTAACAACAATTAACGCCCAATAAAAAAAAAATTCTCCCAAAAGTATCTGAGGTAATTAATTTTTACTGGAAATTCAAAAATTGTACTCGGTAGTTAAAGAATTTGATGAAGAAGAAAGAAAGTGAATTTTAAAAGAAAGAGTTTTAAGGCCTTGGGCTTTTAGAGTAGGCTTTGCTTTTTCTCTCTCTTTTGAAAAATTTGGGTGGGGAATTTTGCTTTGCTTTGTTGGTTGCACGTTAAGATGAGCGGATCGGCGTTTGGCGGCTAATCGTTATAGGGGACAAGATGAGCGGTCCGCGCCGAAGGTTGTCTACTCACTATGCGCCCACTTTTCTTTTATTTCAAATTTACTTTATGAATGGTTAATTTATAAATACATAAAAATAAATGGTGAAAGAAGTAAATTCATCAATATTTTTAATTGCGTAATGTGTATTACTAACAATACGTTTCGATCAAGCTCAAACTTTAGAAACGTGTCTGCTTATAAAAAATATATGCGTAATTATGCGTTTCCCAATTTTTAAGATTATTTTATAAATTCTAAACTAATAAATAAATAAAATAATATATTTTTTGAACTTTATAAACATTATAAATACTATAATTACTTAAATTTCATATATATTTTTCAAAATTTCAACAAAAAAATATTCATCAAAATCATAAATACTAGAATTAACTAGTAATCAATTTCTACGATTATATTATATACGAACACTGACTTAAAAACTCCTAAATCTTGTCTTGTGTAACTCTTTATTGGATTTCAATTCAATCTTCTCTTATTCTTCCAAGTCATCTTCTATGTCATTCGATGTAAATTATCTTCATTGGCTATCTCATTTCATCTCGAAAATTCCTATTGTCTCTTGTAGATGTTACGGAATTATTGTCAATCTCCTCCTCATCATTTCAATCATCAACCATTCAAAAAGTGTGCAGTACTAATATCACTTGCTAATAAAACTAGAGGAAGACCAAAGAAAAATGAGGCCCAGGCTCAATGTTAGGGCTACACAAAATATCGTGAAACCGCAAACAATTTAGAAATACAAATTACAACTAGCCTATTGAAATAATCATAGAAAGTAAGTTATGTTTATCATTATTGACTTATGATTTAACATGTTCACAACACATGTCCTCACCCAATATCTAAACAAAATTAAAATTATTCCAAAATCATATGAAGTAAAAATAAAAAACATATAATTTCAACAATCCAAATCATAGTTAAACAAAATTACGTCAGCAAATCACGTACAAAGTTTCAAAAGCCTTGACATAAACTATCATTTTTCTAACATTTGACTCTTATCTACCACTGCTGAACGAATTGCCAATCGCCTTTGCATGTTAGTCTACTAATCTCTATCTGAATAGCCTCTTTATCTCTTCTTTTTCGGTAAGTCTTATATTCTTATTCAGGCTATTTTTTCACTGTTCTTTCTTTTATTTGTGTTTTTGAACTTATTATACACTTGTGAGTTGTGGTTTGAATAGAAAAATGATTATTTGTGTGCCTAAATGATTAATGAACTTATTTGTGATTTGGAAAGAACGAAGGACAGAGCCTATTGATTGTGTAAAAATGTTAAACTTTCCTAACTAGTATTGCTACATTCATCTTTCATAAAGTAGTTGGAGGATAAAACTCGTCAACTCTCAATAAGCCGAAACTCTATTAATCTTTTTACGTCTAAACATATCACGTTCAATCCTTATTTAATATCTCACTAGCAAGACAAAATGAGTTTTAACAAAATTATAATAATAGAATGTAACTCTACATTTATCAACAGCTATATGACAATAGGAATGGCAAATAAGAAAAAGTAAATGAAAATGAAAAAAGATATATTTGTTCTATTGATATTTTTTAGCAACCAATTTTGAAAAATAATTTATTCACGAGTTTCATAGTAAATGAATGTAATTTAATGTCAAAAGATAAACCGTGGATTAAAATTGAACCAAACCATAAATATGCTGTGGTTCGAAAAATAAAATTGTTTGATTTGGTTTGAAAAAATTTCAAACTGCATAAAATGGTTTGTGTTGAAAATATAGCACAAATCGTCCATACCAAACCGCGTTCACCCCTACTCAACGTAAATAGTTTACAATTCTACAAAAAAAATTATCTTGATTTTTATTTTTCTAAATGTCAAAATCCAAAGGCTTGGATGATTCGTGTCAATTTAATGTCTGTCGGACTGCTTTTTAAAGTTATGAAAATGGAATGAGTTATGGTAGACTAATTTTGATACAATTTTAACACAAATGCATGCATTTTGGTGTTCAAGCGTGCAAATGTAGTCAACCATTTGGTTGACTATATTATTGCACGCATACCTTATATGCGGGGCGTTTTGAAAAAACATCAAGCATAACGTGTATGTTAGAATATCAGTACTTTTGAATTCATTAATATGAATATCAGTACTTTTGAATTCATTAATATGAAGTCTGATAATTAAAATTAATGAAGAAAAAGATATAGAAAATAGAAATAATTTTCAAAATGAAAGGGACTAAACAGGCATAAGAGATCCATTGAAGAAGATCTATCTCCCTTTTTCTCATAAGAAAATGAGAATACAAATAAAATCGATGAAGCAAAATAAATATCAGAATTAATGGAAAGGAAAAAACACAGGATAAATTCAACTTTTGATTTAAAGAGACTTGCTCTAAAAATAGCCTAATTTCTGAAGATTCTTATCCAATGGATATCAACGAAAGTCACGACAATTCAAAATACTTATCAATTTTATTTTTATTTTTTAAAAATAAAGACCTTTTTATAAGGTTTTTGGTTTGAACTTTTTATAATATATGTACTTCACCCAGTCAACTTTTTGCCATTTGGATTTCGTAATCATATAATTTTAATTAGTTTTTTCTATTTTAGGTATGACAAGAGTCGTGTAATCACTTAAGCTCCCATTTCACAAATTAGGGCGTGCTACAGGAACAGGGGGAGCTGACTGTCCCTTGATCGAACCCCACAAATAGGGAGAGAGGGCCCTTTTTTTTCAGGCCCCACCCCCTTTGTGGGACTGCTGACCGCCCCCTGTTACAGGAGCATTTTCCTCACAATTTTTTTTAAGATTATAAATTAGTCAAGATTTATTTTTAATTACATATTTTATTAGATCCACAATTTTTATTTATTTTTTAACAACGCACTTGTGGGACACACCAACTTATAATTGGGGTACTTTTAAAAATAATCTGGTCAAATCATCTAAATTTCACATTGACTTCTCAACAAAGGGATATTATGAAAATGGTCTATCCAATGTTAAAAGACAAAAATGCCCTTAAATACATTATACAATTACAAAAGTTGATTTTTTTAAAAGACATGAATACCCTTTCACTTAACAAATAAAAACCAAACACTTCCTACATTTCTTATCTGTATAATCCAATACAGATAAATAAAACACTCTCATCCTTCATCTGCTTCAACTGCAGAAGCTTAAAAATTTATCGAAATTGGAAGTCGAAAAATTTGTGTACATCAATCTCGTCGGTTCGACTGGCCAAACAGTGCCAACTGTTTTCGTCTTTCCCACTTTTTGGGTTATTTTTATTGCTGTTGATATTTTTCTTGTAATTAAAAATTATGTTTCGACATGCAGATATGGTTGTAGTCCCAATTTGTTACTTTGATGATTTCGAATTGAACGAAAAAGATCAATGAGTATGAAAATGGACAAGTGATAAACGTGGTGGTATCGCAATTTCCATATCATCAGGTACATCGTATGCAGAACTCTATAATGATTTACAGAATAAGTTGAATGTTGATCCTTCTCAGTACAACATGGAATTGAAATTTAAATTCAGCGAGCATGCATTAGTTCCGATTCCACCTATAATGATTTTTTCTGTTGATGAAGTGAATTATCTGATTCAACTGAACAATAAATACACGTCTCTTCTTTGCGTGACTTTAGTAAGGAAGGATGTCGTCGAAGATGAACAAGTAGACTCGGGAGGTGGGGATCACAATGCTAATGATTTTCGGGATACGGTGGAGATAGCTCGTGAAGATAATGTGGTTATTCCAGAGATAGTTGCACACAGAATTCCCTCCGCTGCTCCTGACAACAAGAATGAAAATGCAAACACTTTTACAAACGAGGACTTAATTGGTTTATCCCGACAGAGACATGAGTGGGGTGGCACCTCAGGGGCTAGATCGACTGAACCGTCATCTAACTCCTCACGTGTGTTTCCTAATAATGAGGATTTGTATGTCGAGCAACTGTTTGAAATGAAGAAAGAGTTGCAAGAAGCCGTGCACCTAATTGCACTGAAATACAACTTCGAATTTAGAGTGAAAAAATCGAATAGGTTGTTGTTGATGCTATCATGCGTAAATGATAGTTGCAGTTGGCGTTTGCGAGCAACGAAGATGGACATGAATGAGTGCTTCGTAATTCGCAAATATACACGAGAACACACTTGTGAAGTGGGAGTTTGTCGCAATTATCACAGGCAAGCCCGAACTTGGTTTATTGGTCGACAGATAATGCACAAGTATCAGGATCCACGGACAATTTATAGACCATCAGACATCATAACGATGTTCGTCGAGAGTACGGAGTAGTCATGAGCTATCAGAAGGCTTGGAAGGCCAAAGAATGCACATTGGATGATTTAATGGGCTTGGCAGAGGAAAGCTATGCTAAATTAGTCAGATTTTGTCATAATATGGAGAAAACTAATCCTGACTCGGCATTTTTTATTGAGACGGAGGCCGATAACTGCTTCAAATTCTTCTTTATGGCTCTTGAACAATGCTTCGAGAATTTCGAAATGCTATGCGACCCCTAATTCTAGTCGACGGTACAACTCTGAAATCCAAATACCAAGGCCAGTAGATTATTGCTACATGTCAAGATGCCAACATTCAAATTTACTCTCTTGTATTCGGCATAGTTCATAACGAGAATGATCCATCGATGCGTTGGTTCTTCACAAAGCTAAGGGAAGTAATCCGAGAAGTCGAGGATCTTGCATTTGTCATCGATCGGGGACAGTCTATAATAAATGGTATTGCTGAAGTTTTTCCCGATGCATATCATGGGTATTGCATGTACCATATACAAGGCAACTTGAAGACCAGGTATTGGAACAAAGGCATCATTTCATTATTTAGGAGAGCGGCTTAAGCTTACAATATTGAAGAGTGTAATAGGTACATTGTTGAAATAGGAAGCAAATCATTTCCGGCATGGGACTATCTAATGAAAATGGGGATTGAACATTGGGCCCGCTCATATTTTTCAGGACGTCGATACAACATGATGATGTTAAACAACGCGGAGTTTGTCAATGCATTATTTAAGAAGGATCGAGAGTTACCCATTCTCGCACTGATTGAGAATATCCGTACGAAGCTGTAGCAGTAGTTTCACGATCGACGTGCAAAATCACATAATTGCACAACCGTGCTAGCCCCAGCACAAGAGGTAAAGCTCTTCAAGACTGTAGAGGCTGCGAGAAAGTTAAATGTCGAACCACTAGACGAGTCGCGCTTCTCTGTGGAATGTGCACATCATACAGCATATATGGTAGATTTAAGTGATGGAACATGCACTTGTAAACAATTTCAGTTAGAGAGTTTTCCATGTGAGCATGCAGTTGCGGTGGCTATGTATCAAGGATTTGCAGCGAGAACATTGTGCTCTGCTTATTACACTGCTGAAAACTGGAGACCTGCGTATGTTGAAACCATATTTCCGCTTCCAAACGAAGTCGAGTGGGAAGTTCCCGATCATATTCGGTCGTTCAATACATTATCGCCACCTCTTATTGAACCACGTGATCCTGGACGTCAAATACTTCTAGAATACCATCTGCTGAAGAGTTTTCTCGACGGCGTAGATGTAACAGGTGTAAATCAGTAGGACATACTAGCCAATTTTGTACAAGTCAGGTTCCCCTAAATGACAGTTAGAGCATTGTGTATTTCCATTGAAATGAAAAGTATTTACATGAATAATCACAAAAAATAATTACAAATATTAAGTACAAAAATATTTACAAATAATTTATGGATCAAAATTAAATTCGTATAAATCACACGCTAACTTATTTCGCCAATTCTGTATCCATAACTGGTTGATTCCATCAACCTTATGTGCTATACTAAAAAATTCTATGTATTTAATTGCGAAAATTCCACAATCGCTCCTGCAAATGAACAATTATGTGTTAGTTCGGTTTCAATTACGTACGAAATGATTACTAAATTAAAAAAAATTACAAAGACTTACGATATAGACTGTTTCCTCGTCGTCGTGTCCCGCACGATGGCTAGTTTGTCATCCACAGTTAAGCCCGCATGTCTAACCATCATAGGAACGATCACAGTCATCAGCTCTAAGATCTGCTCGAGTTGTCCCTGTGTCAGACACGAATGATTGGGGTCGTACACATATATCGTCAAATCAAGGAACACGATCTCCAGTGCAATACAGTGCTGATTCGCGATAACTAAAATGTACAAATACATACAACCCTCCCATGGCTTTCCCTCAACACTCGGTGACAGCTCGATGACCCACTCGAGCATATATGCGGGAAGCACGTACTCGTTACCTAGAAGCTGAAGTGACTGATACTCAATGGTAACGGCACGAAAGAACTCGGTGTTCAGTATAATGCGGACAGGCTTGTGGAATGACTGTGGATATCTCTCAACTCGATTGCGCAACAAGTCCATGGCCATGTCGATGTGCTACATCAAGGAAAACAAAGGCATAAATACTTATTTCATTTACCAAATTAAACATAATGTATACAAAAAGTAACAATAACACTTCACTTACATCGTCGGCGAGCCAAGCCCCCTGAGTGGTGATATTATGGAACCACTTGTATGCGTCCAATATCGTCCTTCCGACTATCATGTGCGTGGCTCTAGAAATAAAATAGAAAAAACGTTAAATGAAACATATACGAGTAATTCTAGTCTACTAAATATACAATACTTACCCGGGCAACATTTTTCGCCACTCAGCCTCGAATGCATTCCACTTCGCATGGTCGACCTCCCGGAACAGATTGGGGTAAGTCCCATCGACGAACCTCCTCCTCTTCGCCTCAGCCGTGAAGAGAGAGACGACGTGCAGTGACGGCACTCTCGGCCTCTTGCCGACCACCGTCTCCGGCATGTCAACAGCTCGTTTTTTTGCCTGATACACTACCACCTCCTCCACCCCAGGGCTCGCCCCCTTCTCCATCCCCTCATCCGCCACTCCAAAATCTGCCTCCATCTCCATCCCCGACGGAGCCACTCCCACATCTGCCTCTGTCTTCCTCCCCGACGGGCCCCCTCCTCTGTCACTACTCCCGTCCCATCGCACTTCACAGATAAAATAAACGATTCCCATGCATCATCATCATGTATGTATGACTGCCGAAGACCCCCATCTCTATCACCCCCATCCCTATCACCTCCTCGATCACCGTCTCCGTCAACCCATCGCCTACCGCCTATATCACCCCGAAGTGCTGTAATCTTATTCGACAAGCCTTCGACCCTTCCTAACAACTGTCGTCCCAGATCATCAACCCTCTCTATCATCTCTCGACGCATTCGGTCGACCTGCACCTCTATAAATCTGCTCAGACGGGCGTACAGATCATCAAAATAGTGCCCCTGACTATGCGCGGGAGATCCACATAAGAGGTCTCTGGACGGGGGGAGGCAGAGGAGATGCCGTCGGCGGCATCTCCAGCAGAGGAGGAGATGCCCTCGGCGGAGGTGGTGATGCCCTCGACGGATGTGATCGTCGATCAACTGGATCACGCTCCTACACAAGCAACAACATTACAAATTATTAACTTCATCCATAAATGCTAACTCATACAAAATGGTAATCAATAGATTTTATTTAATTCGCTCACCCAATCTCGATCGGGGATCAGATCAGACATATGGTCGTCTTTAATGTGCGAAACGCCTAATTCACGCATAAGACCCTGAGCCTCCTCCTCCATCGACGGCGTCAACTCAGTTATGACTTCAAGTTGACATATTAATATTTGAACTAGTTAACGATCATGCAATTAGATGTTAAATCACGCACAATATAAATTACAAATGCATAATACTCACCTAAGGGTCGTCCAGGATAGCCGATGACTGTTTCCCAGTGGGACATCCCTCCGATCGAGATGCTCTCCAATGGTGCATCCGAGGGAAGCATGTCTCCCCTCGCCTCGCAAATCGGGCTCCCAATATGAGGACAGCCTCATACGCCCAGATCTGCAACACATAAAGTTATTATATATAAATTCAATATGAAAATAATTTTAACATTCATTATGTTAACCATTTACCTGCACCGCCAGGGGCAATCTATAGGTGTCGTACTTACGCATGGCTCCCTTCGGCTTCGAGTGCGATCTGGTGAAGACATGCACAGTGTCCTCAAAACATCTCCGGCCCCACGGATAGTCGTTGAAATGATCGATGTCGTCAACGATCTCCAGATGGAAGAGGTCGATCGCAGTCTTCTTATGGTGACACCGCACCACTCTCTCAAGGATGTAGACGAGACCTAACTTCAGTCTGTCTAACATCTAATCACAACTCCTGATTGCGTCCAACAGCTGTGTAAGGAGCACAGTACCCTGTCCCTCGAAGTAAGCGTCATAAAGCCTATTTCTTCTCTGAGTCCCATCACTAGCTACTTCATCACCCGTAATCTTTAATCCTGTGATCAGAGCAAACTCGAACATTAAAAAACTAATGATTTTACCCTCGATTGCAAAGTGGAGGGCATCGCTGTCGACTGGACTCAGCAATCGACATAGAAGTGCATCAATAATCTGACCCGAGTACTGCAGATCTCACAATGGGTACAAGGCCCATAGGAAGGACTGACGCAGTATATCAGCATGCTGATCATCAAACAGTTCTAACACAGCTTTGAAACTATCAAAGCTACTATTCCACGTAACTTTGCCTGACATCTGTCTCAACTCTGCGTCAATATGATAATCCATCATGTACAAATTCAAAATGTTAGAACATTGTACAAGTCATAATAGTAATAACAGAAAATTTAGCGAACGAAATTGTAACTACAATATGCAAAACGTAGATTCATAATAATTAAAATCATCAATAATGTGAATTTTTTTTATCCTATTATCAATAATGTCAATTTTTTCTAATTATCCCAATTATCCTATTATCAAATTTTCCCAATTATCACAAAATAAAAATAAATATTAAATTTCAAATTAAATTTTGAACAATTATTTCAAATTACAATTAAAAATTTTACAACAATTGTTTCAAATTATTATTTACCAAAAATGAAAAAATAAAAATAAATATTAAAACAAAAATTAAATGTAAAAATTTTATTTAAATTTAGTCGTAAAAATTTTATTTAAATTTGCCAAACTAAATAATTTATTATTTATTAAAACCAAATAATAATAAAAATTTAAATTTGAAATATTAAATTCTTTGTGAAAAAAATTGGGCAAAAAAAAATAAAAAAATAAAGTGGGCTGACTGCACTATTTATGAAGATAATATTATTTATCAAAAACTAATAATAAAAATAAATATTAAATTTAAAACCAAATAATAAAAAATTTTAAAATTAAATTATTAAATTATTTGTGAAAAAAAAATTGGGCAAAAAAAATAAAAAAATAAAGTGGGCCGACTGCACTATTTATGAAGATAATATTATTTATCAAAAACTAATAATAAAAATAAATATTAAATTTCAAATTAAATTTCCAACAATTATTTCAAATTACAATTAAAAATTTCCCAACAATTATTTCAAATTATTATTTACCAAAAATGAAAAAAATAAAAATTAATATTAAAACAAAAATTAAATGTAAAAATTTTATTTAAATTTAGTTGTAACAATTTTATTTAAATTCGTGAAACTAAATAATTTATTATTTATTAAAACCAAATAATAATAAAAATTTAAATTTAAATTATTAAATTCTTTGTGAAAAATATAAATTGGGCCAAAAAAAATAATAATAAAATAAAATGGGCCGACTGTTACTATTTTGGGACTTAAAACAGTCGGTGTGGGCCGACTATTATGCCGACCGTTTTAACAGTCAATACCTACTATAGTCGGTGTGGGCGACTATTATGCCGACCGTTTTAACAGTCGGCCCACACCGACTGCAGTAGGTATTGGGCTGACTGTTAAAGCGGCCTAATACTACTGCTACCCGACTGTTAACAGTCGGGTTTTAACCAAAATGGTGCAGCCGGCCTTCTTCACGCTTTCTCGCTAGAAAATCACTATTTCCGGTGAGAAAAGCTTCCAAATTCAAACAATCAATATTTTTTTACACTATATAAACCCTATTTTACTAATATAAACAAAAAAATATTGAAAAAATCTCCAAAATCTAAATATTAAACCAACCAACGGTAACTTACCTTAACAAGATGTCGCCGGCGATAGATCAACCTTGCTCCGACCAGTTTTGTGAGAGGGTCGGTTTTGTGAAGGGTATTTTGGGATTTTAGGGTTTAAATTCGATTTTTTTTAATTAAAAAAAGGGGTCAAAGGTTACTTTGGAAATATCATCGGGTTATCCGGTCATTTCCTATAATTTCCTCCTTATAATTATAAAAGCTTCTGTAAAATAGAGGCATGAAAGCTTTGATTCTAAGGCGCTGCTATGATATTAAATACAATCTGACTCTACCATTGATATTCCAATACATCTATTCACATGAATTGTAAACTTCAGTCCTTTCAAAATTTGTTTCAAGTTGCTCGATTCACATGATGTTGCTTTAGGGAGGCAACAAAACGGAGAATCCCCAATCTCAGCAAGTACCCACCCCAAACTAGATGGGTAATCCGTGCTCAATCGATTTGACGACGTTCACGAA